AAACCCTGCCGATGTAAGTGAATGGGACATGGTCCAAACCAAACAGTCAAACAAGTACACGTCAAATAAAAAGACTTTCTGACGTTGAGATGTCTGCAGATTCTTTTAAATCCTTTATGCATTGATTACTGTTGTAACAGGTTTTTCTATCAGCAAACGAATGTTGAATGAAAGGCTTGTATTGGCTTGTAAATCAGTTGGCCTCTACCAAAGAGATAATTATATTGCTCAAGAATATTATCTATGGTATTTATAATATATCATAATGAATGTCATTATACAGTGTGAGAACTGTACAATCCAATCTCAAATAACCATACAATGCAAATTTAGTTTCTCAAACTCAGCCTTAGGAAAATCCTCTTGACATACTAGAGCTGGATTTGGCCTTTCTCATCTGACAGCAAAGCATCTACTCAGCCCCCTGGTGTATTTTTGTCTCGCTGCCTCTCCCTAAGTGACACCCCCTTATAAGTCAACCACTCAGTCCAGGAAGTGACAGCTTGGCCATGATGGTACAGATGAGTAGGAAAGGCCAACATGAAATACTCTGAGATTATCATCTTGAGCTTCAGCTGTAGAGCAGGAGGAAGTTCTGTACACTGGTGAGTTCTGAGGTTTTTAAAAAAAAAGGGGGTGAAGGTCCCTATTGACGACATTGATCAGACGATAAAGCCACTAGACTTCTCTGCATTTTCAGAATCAATTTTCTTTTGGTGTTGCTAAGGTTTGAACACGCAACAAAACCCACAAAGAAACATTCACACCAATGAGATAAACACAATTCAATTTCGGTTTCAGGTTTGGCAGGTATGTTGTAGAACCAACAGCAACGGGTAAACACAAGCCTTTCTCTGCAATTACGACAGTTTAAAAGCATAATTTAACAAGGATTAGACCCTGGAACTCTGACCCGTTAGCCCGTCATGCTGACCAAGCTGCTTCTGACCGACACTCACATTCAGCAGCTGTAAGCTACTTGCAACAATTGCACGTCTTAACACTTATTTACCTCAAAGTCCACAATTCACATTTCCCAACAGCCAGACACTTGGTCTCTTCTTCATTTTGGATAAGAGTCTTACGTTTTATTTAAAAACATAAGGGGCTGTGTCCGCCTTGTTCTTATGAAAATCAACTGTAATGAAACAGTGACATTACTTAAGCTCAAAGTTAGAGAAAGTTTATTCTACAGCTGAAACATTAGAGTCCACAACAACTGAGGACGAGCCCTCACCCGCATGACTGAATTTCAGGTCTCAGAGGACGTGACACCACCTGCTACTCAAAGGAATCAGGAGGAAGATGAGAAGAGAAGGAGGCACGCACTTATATCACCACGCAGAGTGACGCAGGGAAATTAATTTAGAGGGATGCCATGAAGTGAGAGGGAATATTTGATAGTCCTCTGCTGGACTATGAGACGTTCCTGCAATTTACAGGATGATAGGATAAAATCATTGGCAACCCATATAATATTACACCCTAGCAGAGGTTAACAGAGGGGGAAAAAAAATGTGGATCTTAATTTAACAGCTACTTTTAATTTAACAAATGACAGCAGGTTAATGGTTGTCACGCTTTAAGTTGAATCTTATTTTTATCTACATTTAACTATACATCCTAGACTGTTTTACAGATATATCGTTTTGTTCTATTTCTTGTATATCTCCCATACAATTACCTACTTATTTACTTTCCCAGAATTGTTTTAACTATAATACCCTACTTTTTGTGCTTTTGTTTTACTCGCTCATCTTTTAAGGCCTCCTAAGACCTAAATCCGTAAACAAAG